AAAACAAGGACCTGAACCCAAGACTACTCTATCCTGCAAGGCTATCATTTAAAATTGAAGGGGAAGTAAAGAGCTTCCCAGACAAAAAAAGGCTAAAGTAGTACATTACCACCAAAACATCACTGCAGGTAATGTTAAAGGGAGTGCTTTAAGAAGAAGAAATTGACAGAGAGAGGAACACAGGTATAAAGGAAAATATGACAATAAATAATGACCTATCTATAATAACCATAAATGTAAATGGATTAAATGCTACAAACAAAAGACACAGAATAGCTGAATGGATAAGAAAATATGAACCGTATATATGATGTCTACAAGAGATCCACCTCAGAACAAAAGATTCATACAGACTGAAAGTGAAGGGATGGAAAAAATGTTTCCATGCAAATGGAAATGTAAGTAAAAGCAGGGGTAGCAATACTGAGATCTCACAAAATAGACTTCAAAGCACAGGCCATAAAAAGAGACAAAGAGGCCACTACATAATACTAAAGGGGTCAATACAACAAGAGGATATAACCCTGGTAAACATATATGTATCTAAACATATAAAAAGCTCTTTGAGGACTTTAAGGGAGAGATCAACAGCAATACAATCATAGTGGGGGAATTTAACAGCCCACTGACATCACTGGATAGATTTTCCAGACAAGAAATCAACAAGGAAACAGTGACTCTAAATGACACACTAGATCAGATGGATTTAATGGACATTTACAGAACATTTCATCCCAGAGCTGCAGAATATACATTCTTCTTAAGTGCACATGGGGCGTTCTCAAAGATAGACCATATGTTAGGACACAAAATAAGTCTCTCCAAGTTCAAGAGGATTGCAATCATATCAAACATCTTCTCTGTTCACAATGGCATGAAACTAGAAATCAATTACAATAAAACAATCAAAAACATTCAAACACATGGAGGCTAAATAGCATATTATTAAACAATGAATGGGTTACCAATGAAATCAAGGAGGAAATAAAAAACTTCCTGGAAACAAAGGAAAATGAACACACAACAACTCAAAATCTATGGGACAAAGCGAAAGCAGTCCTCAGAGGGAAGTTCATAGCATTACAGGCCTACCTCAAGGAAAAAGAAAAAGCTCTAATAAAGTATCTAACACTACAACTAAAAGAATTAGAAAGAGTATACCAGAAAAACCCAGAGAAAGTGGAAGGAAGTAAATAATAAAGATCAAAGTGGACATAAATGACATAGAGACTAAAAATGCAATACAAAGGATCAATGATCCCAAGAGGTGGGTATTTGAAAAGGTAAACTAGGTTGATGACCCTTTAGCCAGGCTCATCAAGAAACAGAGAGAAGACCCAAATAAGTAAAATCAGAAACGAAAGAGATGAAGTAACAACTGACACCACAAAAAATACAAAGGATTGTAAGAGAATACTTTGAACAACTATATGCCAACAAGCTGGACAACCTGGATGAAATGGACAAATTCCTAGACAAATACAATCTTCCAAAACTGAATCAAGAAGAATCAGAAAATCTACATAGGCCAATAACAACTGATGAAATTTAAGGAGTAATCACAAAACTCCCAGCAAACTAAAGCCCTGGTCATGACGGCTTCACAGGGGAGTTTTACCAAACATTAAAAAAAACAAAAACTTAACACCTATCCTCCTCAAACTATTCCAAGTGTTCCTACACTTCCAAGCTCTTTTTATGAGGCCAGCATTATCCTAATCTCAAAACCAGATAAAGATACTACAAAGAAAGAGAATTACAGGCCAATATCCCTGATGAACAGAGATGCTAAAATCATCAACAAAATATTAGCAAATCGGACCTAGCAATATATTAAAAAGATCATACACCATGACCAAGTGGGATTTATTCCAGGGATGCAAGGCTGGTACAATATTCACAAATCAATAAATGTGATATATCACATAAATTAAAAGACAAAAATTACATGATCATATCAATAGATGAGGAAAAAGCATTTGACAAAATCCAACATCCATTTTTGATAAAAACTCTCAACAAAGTGGAAATAGAGGGGTCATACCACAACATACTAAAGGCCATATATGACAAACCTACAGCCAACATCATATTCAATGGGCAAAAAACTAAAGCATTCCCCCTAATAACAGGAACAAGACAAGGATGTCTGCTTTCACCACTCTTATTCAATATAGTACTGGGAGTCTTAGCCACAGTGATCAGACAAGAATAAAAAATAAAAGGCATCCAAATTGGAAAGGAGGAAGTAAAACTGTCATCATTTACAGATGACATGATGTTGTACATAGAAAACCCTAAGGACTCCACCAAAAAACTATTAGATAGGTATTTAATAAATGAATTCGGCAACGTAGCATGATACAAAATTCACACCCAACAATGGATGGCATTTTTATACACTAATAATGAACTCTCAGAAGGAGAAACTAAAAATACAATCTTATTTACCTTTGCAACAAAAATGAATATACTTAGGGGTAAACTTAACCAAGGAGGTAAAAGACCTGAACTCAGAAAACTACCGGAAGTTGATAAAAGAGATAGAGGAAGATATAAACAACTGGAAGAATATACCATGTTCATGGATTTGTAGAATCAACATCATAAAATGTCCATACTACTCAAAGCAATCTATATTCTATGCAATCTCTATTAAAATACCAATGGCATATTTCACAGATCTGCAACAATCACTCTCAAGATTTATATGGAACCAAAGAAGACCCCAAACAGTTGCAGCAATCTTGAGGAAGAACAAAGTTGGAGGGATCACAATACCAGATATCAAGTTATACTACAAAGCCACTGTAATCAAAACGGCCTGGTACTGCCCCAATGGCATATAGATCAATGGAACAGAACAGAGAACCCAGAAATGGACCCAAGCCATTATGCTCAATTAATATTTGACAATGGAGGCTAGAACATACTATAGAGTAAAGAGAGCCTCTTCAATAAATAGTGTTGGGAAAATTGGACAGGTACATGCAAAAAAATGAAACTAGACCACTAACTTACACCATACATAAAAATAAACTCAAAATGGATAAAAGACTTAAATGTAAGCCATGAAACCCTAAAAATCCTAGAAGAAAACATAAGCATCAAAATATCAGACATCTCATATAGCAGAATTTTCACAGATACATTGCCTAGGGCAAGAAAAACAAAGGAAAAAGTAAACAAAAGGGACTACATCAAACTAAAAAACTTTTGTACAGCAAAGGAAACCAGCATCAAAATGAAAAGGGATCCCACTGTATGGCAGAACATATTTGCCAATGATACATCTGATAAGGGGTTAATTTCCAAAATATATAAAGTACTCATACAACTCAAGAAAAAGAAGACAAACAATCCAATTTAAAAATGGGCAGAAGACCTGAATAGGCACTTCTCCAAAGAGGACATACAAATGGCCAAGAGACATATAAAAGTCACTAATCATGCTCAAAGTCACTGATCACCAGAGAGATGCAAATTAAAACGACAATGAGTTACCACCTCACACCAGCCAGAATGGTGATCATCAATAAATCAACAAACAAAAAGTGCTGGTGAGGAACTCTAGTACACTCTAGTGCAGCCAATAAGGAATACAGTGTGGAATTTCCTCAACAAATTACAAATGGAACTGCCATTTGACCCAGTGATCCCACTTCTAGGACTATATCCTAAGAAGCCTGAAACACAAATCAGAAAGGATATATGCAACCCTATGTTCATAGTGTTATTTACAATAAGATCTGGAAACAGCCCAAGTGCCCATCCATAGACAAATGGATAAAAAAAGCTGTGGTACATTCACAGAACAGAATACTATGCAGCTGTAAAAAAGGATCTCTTACCCTTTGAGACAGCATGGAGGGACCTGGAGAGTATTATGCTAATTGAAATAAGCCAGTCACTTATATGTGGAATCTAATGAACAAAATAAACTGAAGCATGCAACAGACTGATGTGTTTCAGAGGGAAGGGGTTGGGGCAGGAAGAGTTTAACCAAAGAACTTATATGCATATATGCATAACCCCTGGACAGACAATAGTGTGGTGAAAGCCTGGGGAGAGGGTGGGAGTGGGGTGAAGGGGGTCAATGGGTGAAAAAAGGGGGAGATCTGTAATACTTGCAACAATAAAGATAAATTAAAAACAAACTAACAAAAAATAACAAAAAGTCAATCAGTGTATCCCCTCATATTAACAGTCTAAAGATAAAAGAAATCACAAGATCATATAAATTCATACACAGTATGACAAAATTCAACACTATTTCATGATAAAAGTAGACAGACACATAGATCAAGGAACAAAATAGAGAACCTAAAACTAGCCCTACACAAGTATGGCCAATTTATTTTTGACAGAGGTGCAAAACATATCAACAGAGGAAGAATAGTGTTTTCAGTAAATGGTGCTTCGGTAATTGGACATTCAAATAAATGAACCTTAATCTAAGTCTCACACTTCATATGAAGCTTAACTCAAATGGATCATGTAAAGCAGGAAGGAGAAATGGGCAAATCAGCATAACAGAAAATTTATCTCTTCTCTCCAGAATAAAAGAAGCAGGCAAAAAAGTGTACAAATCTTGTACAACACAACTGACAACTAAATAATTAAATATTATTGTCGAGTTATATAAGGAACATTTATAAACATTTACCACGTACTAGGCCATGCATCCCCTCATATTTCAAGGAATGAGCTTCACGTAGGCAGTTTTCGGACCACATTTTTCTAAGGTTAGAAATCTATTAGATAAACTTTTGGAAACTGAAAAGGCACTTCTAAATAACTCATGGGCAAAAGAAAAATTATCACCTCTTAGAAAACACTTAGAACACAATGCACCAAACCTTGTAGGTTTTAGAGTGAACTTTAAGACGTTAAAATTGATGTGAGAAAAGAGGAAATCCTGCAAAATAGTGAGCGAATTACCCAACTACAGTTAGACAATAGAGTCCATCACTGACCACACAAAATTCCCCAACACTCACCCTCCCCAGGGCCTTAGAGCTGCGAAACACCTTGGGCACAGAGCATTGAGGTCCTCCTGACAACAACTATTCAACCGCCGCTGAGAACCACAGCCACTTCCGGTCACCACCCCTAGCGCCGCTCCTCCTCGGGATTTGGGGCTTCGCAGGAAGGGGGCGTGGTCCTGCACATGCGCAAAGCCAAATGTGAAGCCGCTGTCCGCTGAGTCAACATGGAGCTGTTCCTGAGTTGGTGTTTTGAGGCATTCGGTGCCCCTCGGCAGCGATGGGGAATATGGCCGCAGCCAGGTCGCGCTTCCTCGTGGGGTACACCATGTTGAAGGGGTGTCCATTCCGTACGGAGGATGAGAAAGCCTCTAAAGTCACAGGGCCGAGCGGTGGAGCTGTCTCACAGGTAGCGGGGAGCTGGGTTGGCGACGTTTCCGTGGACAGGCTTTCCGAAGGAGGCGGTCTTTGGATCTGTACCCTATGGATCTGTGTAAGAACGTTCAGAGAAGCGGAGGGGCCTCTGGAAAGACGCAGAGGTGGCAGTGGCTGCCATCTCCTGGCAGATACCACGGCATGAGAAGGGGGGGAGAGTTAGACTGGTTACAAGCCTCTCCTGGAACATACCACGAGGGGAGAAAGGAGAGCAGTCAGGCATGTGCAGGCCCCCCTAGGTTACAGCGCTGGAGAAAAAAAGGGGAGAAGTCAGTGTTAGCTTCCCCTCTGCTGTGCGTGTGGACTTTGGCTGTGGGGTTTGAATGTTCCCATCATCTACATTATCTTCCACTCCAGCTACCCAAGTTAAAATAAACATATGTGCCAATAATAAGTTTTTACTTTTTTTTAACCTAATGCAATATGTCGATTAAAAACATCTTTAAGAAACTATTGTTTTTATTTCCTCATAAAATAAAATTTACATAGTGATAGCCCTCTTACTTTGAAAATGTAGTTTTAAAACAATACTGTTTTTGCCCTTCAACCAGTTTGCTGCCCTTTATCATCTCCAATATGGAAATTCTGGAGATGCCCTGTGCTTCTGGGAGATGTCTCTAGGGCAAAAGGGGAAGGAGTCGTGCTGCCCTTCACCTGGGAATGCCTGCTTACACTTCAAAACCACGTTCAAATATCTCCTCCTCCAGGGAATCCTCTGGAAAGAGGTAGAAGGCTTTGTGCCCTGCTGAAGGCCTTTCCAAATCCTCAGGTGAAGAAGGTATTTTGAGGGGATCCCTATAGCCCTGGTCTGGGTGTTTGTTGAATAATTAAGTGAAAGAAGAAATGGAATTAGTGGAAGCACATTTGGCATGCATACACTTCTGATAGGGTGCCAGGAATCATTGTTAATGTTGAGTGTCATAATAGTACTGTTATGTTAAAAAAATAGGTCTATCTGTTAGACTATTTCAGAGAAGATGGAAAGATAGAGCCAATACACCTATAAAGAGATGTTCAAAGTCATTAGTGATCAGGGAATACAAATCAAGACATGTTGAGATGACATTTTACACCCATTCAATTTGCAAAAATTTAAGTCTGCAATACCAAATGGTGGAGAGGATGTGCACCCACAGGATCTATCTGCGCTGTTGAAGGAATGTAAATAAGTGAAACCACTTTAGAAAATAGTTGGCATTCCCTCCTACAGTGAATATTGATATACCTCACAATCCAGCCAGTTATCTCTTAGAAATATATCCAAGAGAAACACTTGCACATGAAACCTAGGATATGCATGGCATCCTGTTCACAACAGCAAAACCTGGAAACAAAAATGGATGCTCATCAACAGGAGTTAAAATGAACGAACTAGAATAATACCCAACTATATGGATTACTATTAAGGGGGAAAAATCCTATAATTCCTGAGAGATTGTATAAAGCATAACACACTTTTATAAAACTAAAAGCTACTAATATAAAGAGCATGAACTGTTTAGGATTTTATGTAGTTATAATAAAATTATATAAAAAGGAAATCGAAAATTGATGAACTTGGGATTCAGAATGATGTTTACCTCAGTTGAGGGGAGGCAGGGCAATGAATTGGGGGAACACATGAATAAATGGAAATTATTTTCAAGGACCTACCTTTTCTTTTAGGTAGTAGGCGCATAAATGCTAATTGTATTATTAAAACTAACTACATATTTCAATTAATTGGGAAAGTTTAATTGTTAGATCAATATTTACATGTAAAAAGAGAAAATTTGCATGGAGAAAAGTGCTGCCCTTCCTTAAATGGGGCAAGAAAATCTTTGACCCCAGACCGGAGATGGTAGGATAAGCAAGGAGGCAGGAATTCCACAGCATTGACACTTACTGAGGCCCCTGTCACATATGCTCTGGCTCCATGGCTCACTCCTTCACGCCACTCATGTCTGCTCAAATGTCTTTTTTTCAGCTACCTTTCTTCCCTGACCTACCCTACCACTCTAGCTCCTTGCCATGCTTTAGTTTTCTTTATAGCCTTCCTTTTTATCAGAAATTATCTTATTCATTTACTATTTGCTCATCTACTTGTTCATGCTGATACTGAAATGATTTCTGCTTCTCACATGTGGAGTAATCAACTGCTTATTTTTGGTATATTTACCACACATGTAGGGAGCAGCAAAACACACACACTGGGTTCATTTTCTTAGAAGATTAATTATTCCATCCAAAAAACTCTGCAGGCATCCCTGGATGACACTACTAATTATAAAATTGAATAATGCAGGAAATACTAAACAGATGGAGAACTTATAAGTATATGAGACCCTATTTGTTCACTCATCAGATATTTATGGATCACCAACCACTGCCCGTAGTACTTGATGTTTGGTAAAACAGAAGAGCCACCAAATCCCTAGCTTCATGGACCTGGCATGCTAATTGGTAAGAGAGCTAATAAACATTGTTTATTAAAAGGTGATAACTGCTAAAGGGGGGTGAATAGGGAAGAATGATGAGTTGGAAATTTGGGGGGACTGACACTTTAAATAGGAGGATCAGAGTCTCCTCTTAAACTCTACCACTGCTTTTCTGCACCCTGGAGCAGACCAGTCACAAATCTTCACATTTATGTGGGTATTTAGTTAAAAATGAGGAAGAATGCAAGGTCAGAATATTTTTATATTTGCAGCTAAGGACAGAATGTCAAGCACCTCTTGGTCATACAATAGATGCAAAGAGTAATAATGTCTAAAGAAAATTATTTAAGTGATTGCAATAGAGTTTTAAAGGCTTTATTCAGCTGATGTGCATCAGGTAACTCCCCATTTGAAACAGGGTTACGGTTTTTATGGGGAAAGTTGAGTATATGTTCTTGCAATTTTGGCTTAGGTAACAGTTTTTTACTTTTTAGAGGAAACTCACAGTTGGAGGGCTGTGTGCGGGCACCCAGGTCCCACACAAGCCACCTCTGCCCAGACCACCCAAACACACATGGCCCTGCCCCTCAGACATGCTCTGCCCACCCGCATTTCTCACCCAGTCCACCTAGTCTCTCCAGGCCCTGCCTGCCTAACCCTACCCTCTTGGACACACTCTGTCTTGCCTTATTGGCTCCTAGCCTTGTGGGACACATACACTGCAACATGGCATACCCAGCCCCGCCCCGTGCCAGGCCCTGCTTCCTTCCCAGATTCTCTCAGCCTCGTATTTTCCGAGAGTTGTTTTGTAAGCCTTGTGACTTATCTGCTGGTCAAAGTTAATGCAAGAAGGGGAGAGGTAGATAGCAGAGAGAAGAGAAGATAGGAGGAGGAGGGGGAGGAAGGAAGGGACAATGGTAGAAGCAATGGGGAAACTGAGGACTCTAGCATGTTCATTTTATAATACTCTTTTTACAGTAAGCTGCAGACATCGTGTTCCTTCAAAGTTCAATATTCAGCACATATCTCCTGAGGGACTGAATATTCAAATGGACAATGGCCAGACTAAATACATGGCAATAGAACTCTGACCTACAACCTCTGACCTACAACCTCTGCAAGCATGGGAAGCCAAACCACTACCTCTGCAGCAATTCATCTAGATCAGGGGTGGGGAACCTCTGGCCCAAGAAATTATTTGGTGTAGCCCTGCCAAAGCCTCACCAAAGAGAAGCAGTTCCAGCCATCACATTAGGGGTGAGTTAATTAAAATTTTGACCAAATGAAGCATTTTTAAGGTGATAATTTTGTACGGCCCTCGAATGATGTTATAAATTTCTAAATGACCCTTGGCAGAAAAAAGGTTCCCCATCCCTGGTCTAGATGATCAGGATTTGGTCAATGACTGCCAGTCTCCTCATTTTTTGCCCTCATTCTCCATTTCCAACTCAAGTCCCATCAGACAAATCCAAATCTGCTCCCCTAACCAATCACATATGATGCCTCATTTCTATTTAGCCCACCTCCAACTTCCCCATGCCAGCAGCCTCCAATCAGAACACACCTGAAGCCTTCTTGTTTTTCACTATAAAGCTTTCCCACTCCCTTGCCTACCTTCGAATCTCTGCCAAACACAAGTAAGGGTTGCTGACTCCCTTGCTGTAGGAAGCTCTAAGTAGTCTCTGTCCCCATTTGGGTCATCTTTCCATATTGCCACACTCCTAAGAACAAGAACATTTTCTTGCAGAGCCAAAAGCCCATTCTCACATCTAAGAATTTGAGTTGTGATTTTAAATTTTAATTAAAAATTATTACATAGCCCGGCCGGGCATGGCTCAGCAGTTGAGTGTGGACCTGGGATCCAGGCAATCGGGGTTCGATTGCCGGTCAGGGCACATGCCCGGGTTGCGGGCTCGATCAGTGACTCTCTCATCATTGATGTTTCTATCTCTCGCTCTCCCTCTCCTTTCCTCTCTCTGAAATCAATAAAGATATATTTTAAAAAAAATTATTACATAGTAAAATTAACTTTTGCACTCTGGCCAGTGTAGTTCAGTTGGTTGAGCGCCATCCCATGCACCAAGAGGCTGCTGGTTGGATTCCCAGTCAGAGTACATGCCCGGGTTTTGGGCTCAATCTCAAGTAGGGGGCTTTTAGGAGGCAGGTGGTCGATGTTTCTCTCTCTCCCTCTCCCTTCCTCTCTCTCTAAAACAAATAAAAACATTTTTTTAAATTAACTTTTTTATATACAGTTCCATTCATTTGAATACATGTGTCCATTTGTGTATCCACCACCACCATCAGGATATAGAACAGTTCCATCACCCCTCCCCCCAAAAAGAAAACCAACTCTCATCACACCTAAGAAATTTAACAAAGGTACAATAATGTCATGCAGTTCAAGTTCAAATTCTTCTAATTATCCCCAAATTTCTTTGCAACTTAAAAAAAAAAATCCCAAATCCAAACAGGGTTCATATATTTGGTTGTCATGCCTTTTTCTAATCTCTCTTTAGTCTTTAAAAGTATTTTACCAGCCTCTTTTTTCTGTCATGACCTTGATATTTTTGAAGAGCCTATGCCAGTTGTCTTGTAGATGGCTGTGCATTTCTTTTTTCCTTTTTTTTCTTTTTTAAGTTATATATATATATCTTTATTGATTTCAGAGAGAGGAAGGGAGAGGGAGAGAGAGAGATAGAAACATCAATGATTAGAGAGTCATTGATCGGCTGCCTCCTGCATGCCCCTGACTAGGGATCGAGCCCACAACCCGGGTATGTGCCCTGACTGGGAATTGAACCGCAATCTCCCGGATCCTAGGTCGACACTCAGCCACTGATCCATGCCCAGCTGGGCACAATTCTTATTATTTCCTCATTAATAGATTCAGGTTAAACAGCTTGGGAAAGAAATCTGCATCAGTGAAGTGTCCCTCTCAGTGAATCATGTCTGGAAACATGTTTCTGTGCATCCTATATTTGGTAATGCTAATAATTTCTTTATTGTAAATAGATCTTTTTCCTTTTATATTTATCTGTGGGCTAATTCTTTGGGGACCCTGTGAATAATCTGTTCCCCAATGTATTCGTTTTCTAGGGCTGCCGTAACAGAAATTTATTTTCTCACAGTTCTGGAGGCTTGTAGTCCAAGCTCAAGGTGCTGGCAGGTTTGGTTTCTCCTGAGGCCTCTTTCCTTGGCTTGCATATGGTCATCCTCTTACTGCCTTTTCAGATGGTTGTCCTTTGTGCACATCTGGTGTCTCTCTCTATGTCCTAATCTCCTCTTCTTATAAGGACACCAGTCAGATTGGATCAGGGCTCACCCTAAAGGTCTCATTTTACCTTAATCCCCTCTTTAACAGCCCTATCTCCAAATATATCACATTCACATTCTGAGATACTGGGGGTTAGGGCTTCAGCATATGAATTTGGGGGGAATACATTTCAACCCATAACACTCAAGTATATTTTCACAAGATGGTTTTAGCATCCATTGATGATCTTCACCTGAAACAATGATTAACTTGGGGGGATGCAAAACGGTGATTTTCTAATTCTATTTATTAGCTGACTTTCTTCTATAAAGAGCTTTCCTACCACTTGCATGTTTGATTGTTAAGAATTATTAATGTGCCAGTATCAGATTTACTGCTTTTCTGATTGCAGATACATTATGTAATACACAATTAGTTTTTAAGAAATAGTGCAATTTAAAAATAGTAGGTACTACTGAAACGTTCTACTAGAAATCCTGGACACAATCTGTACTCATTGATTCCAGTTTCTTTCCCCAATTGCAATTTGTCAGATATATTGGTCCCCAGATCTTACTTTGTCTTGGCTTTGAAACCATGTTGTTTTCTTAACTTCTAACGTTATATTAGTTCAGTTCAACTAATATGATGACTTATATTATTACACTCCAAAAATTTTAAACTTCCCTTGGAATCCTACTATATCTCTACTTGGTTATGATGTGTTAGTCTTTCTTTTTTTCCTTTGAGGAGGAGTAGCAATCTGTAATTTAACAGAGCATCTTGATAATCCCTCACTTTTTTATTGTTCACAGTATTACAGATGTCCCCCATTTCCCTCCCCCTTTGCTCCCCTCTACCCAGCCCCTGCCCCACCCCAGGCCTTCCCCACACTGTTGTCTGTGTCCATGGGCTATGCATATATTCATACAAGTTCTTTGGTCAATCTCTTCCCAGCCGCCCACCCCCCCTTCCCCTCTGAGACTGGTCAGTCTGTTCCATACATCCATGCCTCTGGATCTATTTTGTTTGTCAGTTTATTTTGTCCATTAGATTCCTGATGTATTAGTCTTTCAATATACTTTTGGATTCTGTTTGCTAATGTTTTATTTAGGATTTTTTTTTTATGTTCCTAAATTAGAGTGCTCTAAAATTTTCATTTTTAAGCAAAACTTGTCAAATCAGTATTCACCCATGTAAACATCACCACAATCAAGATAATGAATAGTCTTATCACTGCCCCTCTCAAAGTTTCTTCATCCCTATTTGTAATCCATCACTCTCTTCATCCTCACTTCTAAGTAACCACTGACATGTTTTCTGTCACTGTAGATTCATATGCATTTTCTAAGAGATTATAGAAATGGAATCAGCCCTAGATGGTTTGGCTCAGTGGTTAGAGTGTTGGCCCTTGGACTGAAGGGTCCTGGGTTTGATTCCAGCCAAGGGCACTGTACCTTGGTTGCTGGCTCGATCCCTGGCCTGGGTCAGGGCATGTGCAGGAAGCTACCAATTGATATGTCTCTTTCACATCAATATTTCTCTCTCTCTCCCCCTTCCACTCTTTCTGAAAAGCAATGGAAAAAATATCCTCAGGTGAGGATTAGAAAAAGTCCAACAACAAGAAAGGGAATCATACAGTATTTTCTGTTTTGTGTCTGGCTTCTTTCACCCAGTATAATTATTTTGGAATCATCCATGTCCAGGCATTTGAATTTTTGTTTTTATGTCTCTCTCTTTTTTTTTTAACTTTTTTATTTTTGACACTATTACAGATGTCCCCCATTTCTCCCCCTTTGCCCACCTCCATTCAACCCCCACACCCCCTCACTCTGGCCATCACTACACTGTATCCATGGGCTATGCATATATGTTCTTTGGCTAATCTCTTTACCTTCTTTTATCCAGTCCCCCCACCCCCCTCCCCTCTGACATCTGTCAGTCTGTTCCGTGTATCCATGCCCCTGGTTCTATTTTGTTCATCAGTTAATTTTGTTCATTAGATTCCATGGCATTTGTTTTTCTCTGACTGGCTTATTTCACTGTGTCTTTGTTTTTACCTCAATTTTTATTGCATTGTGGTCTGTGAATATGGTGGGTGTGATATAATATTTTTTGGTTAATTCTTACCTGAAGATATTTTTTCCATTGATTTTGAAAGAGAGGGAAGGGAGGGAGGGAGGGATGAGGGAGAGAGAGAGAAACATCAATGGGAGAGAGACATCAATCGGTTGCCTCCTGCACATGCCCCAATTGGGGCTGGGGAGCAAACCCACAACCCAGGTACATACCCTTGACCGGGAATCAAACCCAGGACTCTTCAGTCCATGGGCCAGTGCTCTAACAACACTGGCCAGGGCTGTGTGATATAATTTTGAAATATTATTTCCTCTATGGCGTAGTGCAAGGAGAATTTTTCAGAATGTTTCATTTATGTATAAAACATGCGCATTCTCTATTGAGTACAAAATACAGATCAAATATAGATATATAAAATATCAAGTTTGATAGTTGTAGTATTCCAATCTTTGTACCTTACACATTTCATCTACTTGATCCATCCATTTCTGTGAGATATATTATTCTTCCACTGTAATTGAATATTTGAAAAATTTTCCCTATTATATCAGTATTTATTTTATATATTTAAAAAGCATACACATACACACACATAAATGCTCTTGATTGGTGCATCTTCTTGGTGGCTACATGCTTTTAAATTAAGAATTCTCTTGCCCAGCCAGGCGTGGCTTAGCGGTTGAGCACCGATCTAGGATCCAGGTGATGGAGGTTCGATTCCCGGTCAGGGCACATGCCCGGGTTGTGGGCTGCGGCCAATCAATGACTCTCTCATCATTGATGTTTCTGTCTCTCTCTCTCCCTCTCCTTTCTTCTCTCTGAAATCAATAAAGATATATTTTTTAAAAAAAGAAAAGAGAACTCATATTACTCAGCAAGAGGAAGACAAACAACCCAATTAAGAAATGGGCAAAGGACC